AAAAATCTTAAGCATAACCAATGGAAGAAATGATAGAAAATGGGTCCATAGGTTAAAAATGTGTGTATCCCTGAAGGCTTGTGCTCAAACAAAAAAATAAGATTATCTAGTGGGGATTTGTATTAAGATATGACGATCCATAATGAGAGAGAGACTATAATAGGCTGCATATTGCGTTCTGTGTAGCTTTGTTATGGCTTGCATGATTCAAGTAATTAACATTTGCAAAGTTCCTATATCTATACTCTCAAAGAGTAATTATATCCTTGGTGATAATGTATTACTGTGACAGCTAATTACCTGCATGGTTGTTTAAGCAGCTTCTGGAATATGCAGTGCAGCACAGGCCATAAAGGGTGATGTTGATGTTTTAATCAAAGGAGTATCAGACAAGGATACGATTGAAGATGTCAAGCGTATCATTGAAATGGTATGTTGTTATATTGCAGGTTTCACATATTAGTTATGCATATTTATTTGTAGAATTGTCTTTTAGTTTTATATTTTTCCTTTTCTTCCTGCTCAAAAAGAATTACACTATTCAGTACACGTTCTTAATAGGGATATCTTATATTCATCACAGGCAGAGCGAGCATCATCAAGGAGAGAAGTTTTGCATACTGATTTTCTTACACCACTTGTACTAAAGGAGTCAATGTTAGCGTTAGAAAAGTTAGCCAATGTTAAAACAGTTGCTCAGGGAGGGTACCCAGAGGTTAGATTTTATTTTGCCTGCCAAAAATTGCTTTTGGATCTGAACTTTTAGTAACCTTTAATATCCTAGGCTGAACGTTGCAGACTCTCAGTTGGACATCCGGAGGTGTTGACAACTGATCCAGATATTGTTTCTGCCCTAAGGTAGATCAGACTCTAGTCACCAATCCATCGTTTACTTGCATCTCAAATTGAATTACTTGGTGCTTTCATGTTTTTGAGAAATGGTCTCGCATTTCAGTATTTCAGGGAACTTCTCCTTTCAGCCCTGTTCTCATGGTGATTTCCTTGGAGCCATCCTTGGTACAGGGATTTCCAGAAATAAGTTGGGAGATATTATCTTGCAGGTATTCTTAAACCATATTCAGAGGACTTTGGGAGTTTGATTAAAGTAATTAAGTAAACCACCTTGATAACCTCTGGTTGTTGACTAATGGACGTGGTTTTTTTAACTGAACGAAAAAGGGAAAAGAAAAGTTTCCCAGATGAGGTTTCTGTTACTTAAAGCTTTTAAGTCATAAATTCAGTAACTTGTCGAGTTTCATGCAAAAAGGACCCTGTGCCTCAGCCTCAACCTGCATAAAGATTTACAACTTTTTTTTTTTTGGTGTAAACCACGAGGTGGTCCGGGTCTTTCTCTGTCCGTTTAACGGTCCAGGTGCACCCGACTGATCCCCATTCGCTCCGGGAGGCACAGGAGCTGGCCCAAAGGGAATCGTCACTTGTGGGAATCGAACCCGGGTTATCCCGGAGTTCTCCCCCACAAAGATTTACAACTTGCTTTTGCATTTTGCCAACTTAGCAAATTTAAGCATTTGTGTGTTTGTGATGTTTCCCTCATGTATTCAGTGCATATTTAGTAGAAGTTATCTTTGTACTCTTCTGATATCTAATTGTTTCCAGACCGTTTACGTGCAATTTTAGGGGGAAAAGGGAGGACAAGTTCTTGTTGTTCCTGAACTAGCTGACTTCCTCACATCGACATTGGACAAGGTAGTATCTCCAGATAGATCATCCACACTATCATCTTGTCTACTTATTTATATTACATTTAGAGCCAATAAGTACTAGCATTTTAAATTATTCTCATAGGCTTTTCATCTTTTCTTGTGGATTGCATGCACCTGAAGTTGTTGCAGTATCTTTTATTTTTATATATTGTTTAGCGCCCTTGATCTCTGGTGGAAAGAGAAAAATAGAATGAGAAGAATAAAATCCTTATACATGTTTCAACTTTATCGCTTGAAATTTTATATCTGTTTATTACAATTTACCAGAGGTGCTACAGACTGTAGTCATCTAACTTTTTGCTTTTAGTATGTAAATCAAGAGTAGGAATTCTCCAAAACGTTAGTGTCTTTTTGCAAATTCAAATCCAACAATTCACTTCCATTAATAAGCTGTTTTTTCCTGCTTTACAGGTTGGAAACGTTACTGTTTCCTGTAAAAAGATTCCATTGCTCGCGCTTGAATATGAACCGCCAAGGTTGCTATATCATTGGACTACCATGCTTTTTGTATTACCATTAGTTTCTTCGATTTTGTTTTCTTGATGTTTAAAAATTGCTTGGTCATTTTTTGTGGAGGGGGAGCAATTGGTAGAATTGTAACAGATCTTTACTCTTCTCAGGACGAAGTTGCTAAAGACGGTAGAAGCATCATTGAGACTTGATGCAATAGCAAGTGCAGGGTTCAAACTTTCACGAACCAAGATGGCAGGGCTCGTTAGGTATATTTACTTCCATTTTAATTTCCCTAAGCCAATGGTCAAACACTTCAAATGATTTCGGGAGAAGCAAACAAATATGAGAGGGTGTAGAAAATGGTGGGATACGAGGCAACAAAACAAAGGATAAGAAAAGAGAAGAATTGCGAGGAAGTGTCACTGGGGGAGGAGGGGGATACCGGGGAGGCTTAGATTCTTACCTTTGTAGATTGGCCATAAGACAAACATTATTTCGTTCCAAATTTCAACGCATTATTTCAATGAAGGTTCTTCACATTTTGTTTTAGTAACGGAGATGTGCGCATCAATTGGACCACTGTCACAAAAAGCAATACTACCGTCAAGACTGGAGACTTGATATCTGTTAGCGGAAAAGGAAGGCTAAAGGTAAATTAGCTATTAATTCATGCTTTTGGTAACTCATTAAGGAGGAAATAAAATTAAGATAGAGCATCTTCTCTGAATCATTAAACCAGAGCTACAAGTTACCAACTTCTCATAAGCAATTAAATCTAATAATTTGTGTTTTGTTCAGATAGGGGAAATAAATTCAACTAGGAAGGGGAAGTTCGCAGTTGAGCTGATCCGATACATATGACTCGTGAAGTTATAGCACACCATGTGACATTAATAGTTTTTACACCTGAAAAGTTGCACAGGTTACTGAATACATTGGTTTATTTGAATCATGGGATGAACATATGTTGAAGATGAAGATCAATTTGATTTTATATATACTTGTTACTCTCTTTGACTCTTTGTTACCCTCCTCTGTGACTGTGATCAATGATACATTAATAAAAACAAAAAACATTCTGTTATTGTTCTAATTTTAATTTGTACTTTTCCTGAAATGCAAATAGTCACTGCCTGCTTTCTGTTTCCAGCTTATGGTACACAAGTTTATCTATAATAATACTTGTTAATTTGTGATTATGCTGATGCAGAAAAATAAAAAATTAGATTTACCAACAGAAGAATTTGATGGAAATCCATTAGTGAATCAATAAGTGCAATAAATGTGCAATGTATAGCAATCTTGAGGAGTTGAGGTCACCACCATTGCCCCAAGAAAAAGAGTGATCCAAGATACAAGAAATGGGAAACTGTGTAATATGTGAATACCACCCTATATGTGGGTGGCTTGACCATAAATATGATTTCTGAACTGGTAGTTGAATAGAGAAGATGGATATTGTGGAAATTTTTTGAGAGATTCTAAGGGTATAACTAATGGGTTAAAATGAGGGGAGAAAGAAGGGGAGAGAGAGACAACTTCCGGAGAAGCTGTCATCTCCGGAGGTTATTTCCAAGGGCGCGTAGCGTGTGGGCGACATGCGTCACAAAAGACACACAGAAGTCGGGTGGGGACAACCTCAGGTTTTAATGTTTTAATTGATTAATTGAATTGATGATGGTATATTTTGTATTTAAAATATTGTACTCTTTTTTTAATGTAATTTGTTACGTAACGATTTTGAATGCGAATTTTAATTTATGAAATTATATTTTGATTAGTTTATAAAATTGTATTTTATAATTCAAAAATTATTTTATTTTATATTTAAATTTATTTTTATTTCAAATCGAAATTATAATTATAAATTTGAAATTATTAATTATAGAAAAATGAATAAAATAATATATGGTGTGTAGGAGCGTGGAGAAGTAAGACCTACGAAAAATGGAGAAAAGAGGAGAATGATTGGAAAGAAAATAAGATAGGAGATTATATGATGATGCGGAAGAGAGTTGGACACACAAATTGGGAAAATAAGGTGGAGAAGTATTGTGGATGCCCAAATTGTTGACAATTGCAAATACAAGAAGAAAATTGTAATTTGTAACAATTACCCTGTGTTTTTTTTTTATTGATATGTATGTACATTGGCGTGCACTGAGTTGTATAATTGTAGGAAAGTGCGATGTAATCAGTTAATCGTGTTTTGCGGCCCCGATTCGCTCCACACATTCACTTAGAGCATCTCTAATAGAAAATTTTGCTCAACTTTTATCATATATTTTTGTTTGATGGCGGCTAGAGAAAGTAAATGAGAGATCAAAGGATTTGAGTATGTAGGGACGAAGTTTTTCCTTCAGAAGCTTGAACACTTTATTGGACACAACAATAACTTACTTTTGCCCATTAAAGATGGAAAAAATAACATTTTCCAGTAGAAACAAGAAAAAAAAAACAGAATTAGAGGCAAAAAGTGTAATTTATTAATACTTGAACTGTACGTATTCCTACTACATATCTGTGCATTACGTAGTGGAAACTTAACACTCTTGAACCCTAGCTACGTACAAAAAACATCTGATCTCTTCCTAAGCACAATGAACAAGTCATTCATGCACTACATTTTATTTATTTTTAAATATTCATATATGAAATTATATAAAAATCAATGTTCTCTAGTGAGATATATATATAGTACTCCAGAAATATTTTATGGTATCGTTACGAAACATTATACCTTTTCTCAAAGAATAAGATCTTTTACCATGGACCACCCTCAAAATTTCAAATACTATAATATGTGATTGTGAGTGCAAAAGATGGAGACTACAAATAATGTATTATAAGTGAAATAATATAATTCTTTTAATTTAATTATGCATAGCCACAAGATCCATAATTGCATGGAACCCCAGGCAAGCAAGCCTTGGTGCATTTCCCACAATTCAAAGGGTTATAAACGACGTCGGTGCAAGCGCCGCCGCAGCAGCGCTGTCCGAAGCCGCATTTCCGGCCGCAGGCGCCGCAGTTGTTGACGTCGCCCAGCACGTTCCGGCAGTGCTTCTTGCAGCAGTAGAGGAGGCTGGTGCCGTTGTTCGCCGACACGCCGTTGCACACGTTGTTGCTCACGGCGTCGCACCTCTTCCCCTTCTTTATTACGCTCGCTAAGAACCTACTCCTCAGCCTGGGCGCCCCGGAGAACGGCGCGTCGAGGATGTACTCTTCGGCTTCGTCGTCGTCGGCGAGAAAAGAGGCGGCGGCTGCGGCGGTGGCGGAATGCGTGGAGAGGAGGAGGAAGGAGAGAGCGAGGGAGAGAATGGGGAGGAGGAGTTTGAGTAAGGCGGCCATTCTGTGTTGAACAAGTTTGAGATTTTTGTTCACGAGAGTGATGGGCAAGGGAGGTGTTACGTACGCCAATTTATTAAGTCGCAGATTTTGGCACTTACAAATAAAGAATTCCAGAATTTAAGGTTGGGAATGGAGGATTTAGCAAAAATAATAATTTATTTTTTTCCTTGTGATTTGCAATGAATTAATGACAATCCACTGCTTTAATACTTGCTTAATAGATCTGTAATCTGTTTAGCACAAATCATGACGTTTCGCCAAGGTCTAGATTCTCTACCTATATATGCAAATTGCCAATTTGCCACATTAACAAAAAGAAAATAATGTCGAGACAACTCAACTAAGTTGGTCAATTGACTTATAAATATTACGGAGTAAGTTTCAATTTGGATTCTCAATAGAAGTAGTCTATTGGCCTTCTTGATTTAAATTGGTCAGCAATACTATTGGTTTTCTTAATTAAATATAGATATAGACAATAATCTTAGCAAGTTTACATCATCAATCCACACCTTCAGATAGTGACTGTGAGTTTCTCTATTCATCCAAAAAAATTTAATATTTGTAAAGTATATTCTCACTATATGTCATAATTTGATTAATGAAAGGAAAAAGAATCATGATTCATTTGTTTTTATTCCCTAGATCAACACATTAACAAAGAATAAAAAGTAATAGTAAATATAATACTTCACATGTCTTATTTACTATTTATTAGTCATATATATATATATATATATATATATATATATATATATATATATATATAGCTTATTCTCTTTAATTTTTTAATCATTTTTAAATTCATTTCTTTGTGTTTAATAATACTTTTAATTTAATTTTTAAATATATAAATTTTATATTGATAGTGTAAATTCCACGTAATGCGATCAAAGAAGCCAACTCGATCAAGTCAAAAGCAAGTAAAGACTTTATTGATCGGGTAAAGGACCTAATACAATCTAAAATGGCTATTCCGGAGGCCGACTGACTGCGGTCGGGCTGCTCTGTAAATAGCCTATCGATCGTTCCAAAAGTCCTCCACACTGTAGCCGCCGAAGGGTGACGAATTACGCTAACGCCGGAGAAGCGAACGCCGTCAAGAGATCGCAGGAGGTCACCCTTCGGAGGGCCTCTTCATATGTGGTTGGGGGATGGAGGATGAAGTCCTGGTATAAATAACCAGCCCGGAGGGAAATGTGGAGCATATGGATGGCAGTAAGATCATCCATCAATTCAACCTCCCCGACCGCGGCTTTCCACTTGACCAAAAATTCGGACAAGCTCTCCCCCTCCAGTTGCTTGGCCTTCTCCAAGTACATGTAGGGTTTTCTCACGATCTTGGAAGTGACAAACTTCCGCATAAACTTCATTGCCAAAGTGGCAAAATCAGAGATGGAACTCGGCTGCAATGTGCGAAACCACTCCGCCGCCCGACCGGATAGCGTGGAGTAGAAAGCCCTACACATCACGGCGTCAGACACGCCCATCATCATCATGCTGCCGTAGTAAGTGTTCACGTGGACCTCATGGTTCGTTCTCCCATCATATTCTTTGTTACTAGGGATGCGCAAGTCGAGCGGGTAAGGCTGGGCCATAATCTCCGCCGTGAAGGGTGTCCTCAGTAAAGAGGCTGACAGATCGACCGGGGGCCTTACAGCGTGCTCGTTCCAAAACCGAGTGAACTCTGCTTGGAGGTCGTTGAGCAGTCCTCAGGTCTCCTGAAGTTCGACCGTTTGGGATGGCTCCCGAGCGCGTCGTTTTCGGTGTGATTTTGAGCCACTGTGCCCAGACGAACCCTCCTGGCTGGCCTCTCTCATCGGTAAATCTACTGAGCGCCTGCTCGGGTCCTGCGGTCTCAATCGCTGCCGCATGGTTGGTCGGAGCCACTCGAATGCTACTGCTCGGTTGGCTTCTACTTCGGGGTCCTCCGCTTGGGCTTGCATTTCCGGTTGTACCTGTTGGGCCTGCCGTGGTACCTCCATGGCCTCGGCACCCTGCGACCCCAACCTCGAACGAGCCGAGCGCCTAGCCCGGGAAGTGGGCTGAAGCTCCAGCTCAGTCGGGATAGTCGGGTAAATCGGAGGAGTGGAGGCTGGAGCCCTGTGCACAGGCATATACTGGGGATAGCCGGTCGGGGGTGTGTAATACATCGGCTGATCGGGCCAGTACCCATATTGTGGAGGTGGGACCGGGTACGGATACTGCCCGGGGAAAGGAAACTGCTGGCCGGGAGGTGGATACCCCGGTTGGATGTAGTTAACCGGTTGCTGGGCGACCGGGTACTGTGACGCCGGGTGAGGCGGTGATAGATTGAGGTTTAGGTCAACGGTCTGACCTTGATACTGAGTGGACTGGTGATCGGATGAGCTCGCTGCATCTGCATGATCATCGCCTAGTGTGTGATACATAAACGGATACATTATGACAGATAGAACCGGTGCTCGTCAGACGTTAGCTTTCGTGCACGGGTCCCCACGGACGGCGCCAAAATGATAGTGTAAATTCCACGTAATGCGGTCAAAGAAGCCAACACGATCAAGTCAAAAGCAAGTAAAGACTTTATTTATCGGGTAAAGGACCTAATACAATTTAAAATGGCTATTCCGATGGCCGACTGACTGCGGTCAGGCTGCTCTGTAAATAGCCTATCGATCGTTCCAAAAGTCCTCCACACTGTAGCCGCTAGGCCAGAGACACAATTTCGGCCGGCCGGCATGTAACCCACGTAGCAGTCACGTGTCTTCACCCCGCGAGCCCTGCCTGTCAACGCGTAACGTTGCCACGTGCTTCTTCTCGGATCTCTCGTTCAAGGGCCATCCATCGGGTGTCGAAGACATCGGTCGGGAGACATGCCGATCGGGTTCGACCGGGTGCCTTTAGGAATATCTGACCTGCAAACCTGCACAAACAACAAGAAAAGACGTGGCATGCCGGTCGGGATATATCCTACCATATATATTAATACTTAATTAAATAGTACTCCCTCCGTCTCATTTTGTTTGTCTGGTTCGTTTAACGAGGCTTGACTGAAGCTATTTTTACTTCATTTTTTCATAATATTAAATTTATTTTTAGTATATAAAATTTATATATTTAGAAACTACATTAAAAGTACTATTAAACATAAAAAAATCAAATTTAAAAATAAATAAGCAATGAAGAAAGAGTTGAATTGACCAATGAATAGTAAACAGGACAGACAAAATGGGATAGAGGGAGTACACAAAATTGAATGGCACCAAGGTTGGACTCCTATATAAGAGGTCGTGGGTTTGAGTCTTAGTGAATGCGTTATTGACTTTTTGTGCTTTATTAGGTTGAGAAAGTAAAATGAACTAAACAAACAAAATAAGATAAAGTGAGTATTACTTGTCAATGTCCCTAAAAAAATTATCTTTTTTCTTCTCCCCAAAAAAATAAAAAAGAGAATTCTCCTTTTTTTTTTTTTTTTTTTTTTTTTTTTTTTTGTTAGACCATGAGATGTCTTGAGTAGACCCTAACTATAAATAGGAGACACATTTAAGCTCGTATCATATCCAAATTAATCATCATTTGCACCGGCCCAATTAAGGGTCAATTGTATATATCTTGTATTCATTAAATGTTTTTTGTAACTTTTTTTTTTTTGGTACGCCAAATGGGGCCTCGGTGGCCCCATGTTAGTAAATTCTTCTTGTAGCAATGGACCTCGCGTCCCTTTCCAAAATGTTGTTAACGCCTTCTGGGGGGTTCTCCAGGATTAAGGTCCTGACAAATTTTACTGTGGACCATGGTCTATGTAGCAGCATGGATCATAAAATATGTATCATTACTCCCTATGTCCCATTTTATGTATCTGGTTCGATTAATGAAACTTGACTGAAGTTATTTTTAATTCAATTTTTCATAATATTAAGTTTAGTATTTGTATACTAAATTTATATATTTAGAAACTACACTAAAAGTACTATTAAACACACAAAATCAAATTTAAAAATAAGTAAAAAAAAATACTAAAGAAACTAAACAAGTAAGAAATATTTGGTTTGATCAATAAATAGTAAGTAGGACAGATAAAATGGGACAGGGGAGTACATTTCAGTTTTATTTGACAATATTACTATGTTTTTTAGTTTAATTTTCCCTCCACACTAGTTTCATTATAGCAATACTAAAGTATTATTTTTTTCTATTATAGTTTCATTTGATAATATACATTATTGGTTGAGCTCTTTTTTTGTTTCATTTTCCACACATACTAGTTTAATTATAGTAATGTTGAAGTATTATTTTAATTGCACTTCATGTCATTTGACAATATATGTTATTGTATGGCTCTTGATTTTAGTTTCATTTTCCACGCACACTACTTTCATTATAGCAATACTAAAGTATCATTTTAATTATACTACAGTTTCATTTGACAATATTGTGTTCTGTTTTTTACTTTCATTTTTCCACACACACTAGTTTCATTATAGTAACACACCAACGTATTATTTTAATTCTACTACAGTTTCATTCGACGATCATGGTCCACTATATAACAAGTGTAAGGTCCCCAACCACTCTCTTGAGTCTTGACCCAAGTTTGCAAGGTAGTTAGTACATTGGTTTCCTTCCCAAAGAGTATAGTTGATCTCGCAATTCTGGATTTACCTCATGATATTTTTGCAATCCACAATCGAAGTATCAACTTGTGGATGAGAATCGCCTTCACCCTTGATGACATGAACCGCTTCAGAGTTCGTTTTCACCATCACTTACTAGGAGAAGAATACAATGCCACGAAGTTAAGGGCATCCCCAATTGTGATTTTTTTTTTCTTTTTTTTTTTTTTTTTTCAGAATTTGTGACTTGAGGTGGAAGAAAGAGAAAAGACAGAGAGAATGAAAAAAAAATGTTGCAAGAAAGGTGAATTTTTTTATTTAAAAGATGGACCCCACAAAATGAAATAAAAAATAGTTACACACGCACCAACAACGTTCAGTGGGCACGTGTACTACACGTTCCCATTGGGCATGTTGAAGAGTGTCGCCAATTGATGACCACTCTTTTTTTTT